TTTCTGACATAGTTCTCCTCCCTGACAATTCTTCAAAGTGCCATGAACTTTAGTTGATTTCTAAGAGACTTCAGTTTCTGCCAGCTGACAGACACATTTTATGCTCAGAGCTGTTATCCCATCTATTCCTGACATTTAGGCATGAGATCCGTTGCTTATTTAGCAAAACAGCACCACAGTCAAATCTTCTGTGGTAAGGAGAGATAAAACATTGAAGACTTAGTGCAAAGCACTGATTGATACAGGCAGACCAATGCATTGAAAGCTGTTTGATTTATTGAATTTTACTTGAATAAAAATTAGGGTTTTGTAAAATGTAACATTAGGGGCTTACTGCTTGTCAGTGATCCTGTCTTTGTGATTGGCCTGAAGTTTGGAAAGGGGCATTACTTTTCTTCTTAGAGGAGTCCTCTGATAGTAAAGACTTGTCCATACTACTGCTTGTTCCAAACTTAGAAAGACTGAGCAGTTTTCTCCTTGTCCTGGACTTTCCAGGCACAGATTCAATCAGTTTTACCTTTCCCCCTAAATCAGAACTAACAGCAATCCGTGAAAAACTTGATTACAGCTTGCTCCAATATGGCACTAAAGCATGGGTTTTCCCAGGAAAAAGCAGCAGCGCAAATAGAAGTGGATGAGTGTTAAAGGTGAACATTTACTGGGATTCCTCAGTTGTTGAATGCCTTTGCCCAACCCCTAGAATGAGTGTGATCTCATAATAGCTCAGTGGTTGTCTGCACTGATTGTCAGTGGCTCTCTGGAGATCCAGACAAAGTTTTCCCCAACCTGACCTAGAGCTAGGGATGCAAGAAGGCATTGTTTTTCATTCTTCCCTAGATTAGCGGCATGCACCACTGTTTCCACTCTACTGCAGTTCATCTGCTTGTGCATGGGTGTGTTTTTTTTTGGGGGGGGTCCCTGAGAATCCCCTCCCCACCCAAATAGTTTTCTGAACTTCTGAAAACGTTGGGATAACCCTGATTCTGCTGGTTTTTCTTCTGGGAAGAGTTGGCGCCACTATAGCTGCATAAGCAGCAACACTGATAGCCTAGATATCAGAACACAGGAACATGGGAAGCTGTCTTATACTGAGTCAGATCCCTGGCCCATCTAGCTCAGTATTACCCACACTGACTAGCAGTGGGTCTCCAGGGGATCGAACCTGTGACCTTTGGCATGCAAGACGTATACTCTACCACTGAGCTACAGCTCTTCCCCCTCTTCTGCATGGAAAGAAGAAGAAGAAGAACAACAACAACAACAACCCAGGGAAGTTACCAAGGGCATAGGCCAAACTTTGTGGTCTGGTAATTGTCTATTGCAGGGTGTCCAAAAAGTGAACTCAGAATCCACTATCTCCAGTGCACTAGAAACTTATATACAATAAACGGGTTCTGCTGAGAATTCATTTGCAAGAATAGGCCACAATCCAGTTTAGAGGTTTCCTGTTGAGTATACTAAGTCTTGCACAGAGAGGTGGTGGATGCATGACTTTGTATCTTACAGTAGGGGTGCTGAACTTTTTCAGGCCAAGGACTGCATTAACCATCTAGGCAAATGGGTGGGGCCAGAGGCAATGTCATTTTCTGGTCCAGTCCTGGAACCCACAGGGAAAACAGTGAGGCTGGTTGAAGGTTGCTGGACCATGGACAGCTCCAAGTGAGAAGCTTTCTCCTGCAATGATTGGGGATAGATTGAAGTCTTCTATGTCTGTCTCCAGCCTACCTCCTCCAGGATCCAAACCCTTGAGAGGACTTCAGTGCCTTAAAGGGCCAACCATTATTTGCTCCATAGGCTCCCTTCTGGTGCTGCTAACCTCCTGATTCATGGTGGGAGGCACCTGGTTCTTCATGTTCAGGGAAAGATGTTCATGAGGGCCTAGTTCTTGTCTAGTCACCTCAGGTGCAATGGTCTCCCTCTCTTCCACTATCAGCTCTGAGCCCTGAACATGCTCTGGCTCCCCATTTGGTGCTCCATCTCTGTTTCCAGTTCAGTGCTGGATATTGGGGTCATGACAGGCAAAAGCAGGCAAAGCAACACGTGTATGTTTCGCCTTTGTACAGTTGGCTAGTTTTTATATACATTCAGCAGGAAATAAATAGATTTTAGAACCAGTCTTGTAACACAAAAAACATCCAGAAATGACATAATTGATAACGAGGTGTGTGTGAGAGAGGGGGGGGGGACAGATTCCGCACGGTACAGAGAGGACTCCCACTTGAGATAATTTTGCTCACCGTAACCTCCTGTTATTTCAGTCATGTCTTGCTCTCAATTCCCTGTCCTTCTAATCATTTTTTTCATCATGTTCAGCTTTAAATACCGCATTCATTCTCTCATCATCAGAGCTGATAGACTGACTAATAGATTGACACTGCCCTTTCTCTTGAAGCAGTAGGTGAACATGGGGTCTATAGAAAATTAGATTGGCTTTCAGGATCCTGGGATTTAAGGCTCCTTCTTTCCACTCGGTTAAGTGTGAGCAGAAATTGAGGTGCCATCTGCATTCGGGTGAACAGAAAAACCCAATTCCAACCCTCTAATTGAATTCTTACTTGTTAAGAGTACTTTCACTCAGCTGGAAATCATAGCTCTCCTTTCACTGCATGTTAAGGGTCTCTGGCCAGAGCTGGATTGGAGATTAATAGGTTTCATCTCAAGGTGTGAGTCCCCACCCCTTTTCATTTAACTGCTAGGGATGTATGAAGTTGCTTTGTACAGAGTCCATCTAGCTCAGTATTGTATGCACCAACTTTCCTCAAGCTGATGCCCTCAAGATGTTTCGAGCTACAACTCCCATGAGCTCCTGCCTTCTGCTTTGGTGACCAAGTAGACTCACCGCTGCTGAGGCATCAGAGAAGACACAGACTTCTTTGTTTGGGTGGCTATGAGTGAGATTAAAACATAGCTGCATGGGGATTGAGACTTCCCAGTGAACTTTTAAGAAACTTCCCCGCATTTCCCCCCCCTTGCTATCTGTTGGTGGATGGTGAAATGTCTCAGGCTAGAGCTATGTTTTGCAAACTTGGGTTTCCAGCTGTTTTCAGACTGCAATTCCCATCATCCCTGACCACTGGTCTTGCTAGCTAGGGATGATGGAGACCCAAACAGCTGGGACCCAAACAGCTGGAGACCAGTTTGGGAAACACTGATCTAGAGTCTCTGAGGAAAACATTCTCACTAGGAATTGCTCCTGTGTAGTAACAAAGGATGCAATTCCTATTGGGTAGGCTTTTTACTGTTGACAAGATGCCACAATTGGACAGGTAAGAAAACATTGCTTTCCATTCAGCCCTGTGGAATACAGTACTGTTTCTGTCCCTCGGCAATTCATCTTCTTGCAAAAAGTATATTATTCACCTCACTCTCTGCTGTGACAAAATTACGTAAATTACATGAATTACTCAAGTTATGTTTTCTTTATACCACCCCATTCATTTAAATCAGTGCTTCTCAAACTCGAGCTGTTGTTGGTCTGCAGGTCCTGCTAGTTAGGGAGTTGTAGTCCAACAACAGCTGGAGACCCAAGTTTGAGAAACATTTATTTAAATGCAATGCAAATGGGGTGGGGCTGGGGCTGTAATCAGTTACATATTTCTTGCAGACTTAAAGCACCAAAAACAAATGCTGAATGTATTCAATGTCTGCTCACATTTCTGTTTTCATTCAGAGTTCTCTGGTGTTCTTAGCCACAACATTACTTCCACCTTCAAGTGGGAGCAAATTTGCCCAACCCCAACTTCCCCTGGAAAGAAGACTCCGAATGGTTTTTCCCTGGGGAGTTGCTGAGGAAGGTTCAGCTGGGTCCTTGGGCCAATTGGGATGCGGAGGGAGTTGGCTTCCTCCCTCTGCTATATGGGCTTTATGAGTTGCCTATTTGGCAACCTGAGTTCACCAGCGCTCTGCCCATTTGGAATTGCCAGCAACTGGTATCCATAGGCATATTTCTACTGGTATGAGTTGTTTAGCAGTGGAACAGATTGTCTCTGGAAGTGGGATCCTTTCCCTCATGAGAGGTTTGTCAGCAATGCGTGGATGACCACCTTTCAAGGATGCGGTAGTGAAACCCTTCACCGAGCAGGGTTTGACACGATGGTCTTTTCCAACCGTGTAATTAAATGAAGCAAGTTTTTCCATATCCACCCCCCAAAAGAAAAATTACTGTAAAAGTGCTCTTACATCCCCATTGCTGTTATCAACTATAATGGCATATAATTACCTCCTAGTGCTCTGATGATTCAGACCGGGGGCTGACTGTTTATTAGGATAAGTAATGGCCTGGGTGAACAAATACTTTTCTTCTGTGTTTTGGGCCCAATCTGCACTACACATGTAAAGCACCATGATACCTACTCCCCACACAGAACTACAATTCTTGGAGTGGTTTACCCATAAATTCTCCTTCTCGAGGAACACTTTAATTTTATCAATGCTTAATTATTATTTTTAATGATTGTTTATTTCCTCTATGTTTTTTTAGCAATTCTTGTGTTTATCTGTAAGCTGCCCTGTGCCTCATCAGGGGGAAAATGGGGTATAGATTATCATCATCATCATTATACTGGCAATTGGAGGTCTGTGAGGGGAATTGGGGGGGGGGTCCTCCTAACAGCTCTCAGCACCCTTAACCAACTATGATTCCCAGAATTATTTGAGGGAAGCCATGACTGTTAAATGTATAGAGGCTATAAATGTATAGTGTAGATGGGACTCAAGGTAGATCCATCAAAATGATGATGGTGATGATTTATTTCCACCTTTCTTCCAATGGACTCAAAGTGGTATACATACTTCACATTTGGATATAAGTCAAATCAGCCAAAGGCCTGATGGAGAGGAATGTTTTCTCCTGACGCCTAAAGATATCTAATGAAGGCACCAGGTGACCATAAGATATGATCCTCTTGTGAAACAGCTGGTCATAGATGTTGCCTTGGTTTCTCTGGCTTCCACATTCTCCTTGTCTGTCTCCCATTTTCTCTCTCCCTCTCCCTCTCTAGGTATGGCTCTGCGGTGGCAGCATGGAAGTCCTGCCCTGCTCTCGAGTGGCCCATATTGAGCGCAAGAAGAAACCTTACAACAATAACATTGGCTTTTACACAAAGAGGAACGCATTGCGGGTGGCCGAGGTGTGGATGGATGACTACAAGTCCCATGTGTACATTGCGTGGAACCTGCCACTGGAGGTACAGTTACATAGCTTCACTCATGAGAACAATCATGGGGATCTCTGGGGGGTTGGCTGTTTTGCACAAACACCCCAACTTTGTGACCAGGGCAACAGCCCCCCGGTCCCCACCACTATGCTACTGGTTCCACAATCTATGGATAACAGCTAAAAAGGCTCCTGTCCCATGCTCCTGTCAGATGCACCAATTAGATACTAATTCATTGCATATAGTTTTATATGGGAGGAGTTTATATTGTAGATATCCTGGTCCTAAACCCTTTTTGTATAGGGCTAATTGGGCATCAGTAGGTTGGGAGTTCATATAACCTGATCCTCATTACTATTACTTATTAAATTTAAATAGCTGCCCATCAATAAACATCCCCAGGTAGCTGCAACAAAAAAACAAAAAGGCAAAATATGTAATCATAATTAAAAAACAACAATTAATGACAAAGGACAACATACTGGCAGCATTAAATACTTTATAACTCAGATTCAAACCATTTTAAAAATGAATGAGTGCCATGCTTGCAAATTTCAAGCACTTATGCAAACAACAAGAACAAGAACAACCTAGACGGTTCCATTAAAAACATGTCCCACTCAGAATGTTCCATTCTTGCAGGTGCCTAGCACAAAACTCTGCACACCTATTTGTCTGGAATTTGGCAAGTGTTGTTCATTCAGGAGCTGTTACTATGACTTCAGATTTCACTAAGTCGTGACAAAAAGACAAAAAGACATGGGACGGCATGAAGCTTTGATTTTCCTAAATTAGGGTTCAAATTAGTTCCCAGTGTGAATCAGACAGCCACTGAATTACATTCCAAAATGCCATACTGGGGCCCTCGCGCCAGTCTTTTAAGGGCCAATAATGTATTTCTTTCAGAATCCTGGAATTGATATCGGAGATGTTTCAGAGCGAAAAGCACTCAGAAAAAGCTTGAAGTGCAAGAACTTCCAATGGTACTTAGACCACGTCTACCCAGAAATGAGAAGATACAATAACACCATCGCATATGGAGAGGTAATTAGGAGAGGAAAGCACGACACTGAACCCATTCTAGGGATTCACGTTGAATACATGTTTCTGTTTGTTTCCAATATTTTTAATGAGATCTATGGGGGATTTCTGAAAGTGCCTAACTCTCTTAAGACCATTCTTAGAATTATCTTGGCTGGTCACAATAATCTTTTGCCATATTCCTTGCTTTCAGATTGGAGGGGATCAGGTGGATTGTGGGCATTACTTGATCTAATTGCATTCACCCCATATTTCAGTTACAGTGAATTTAATTGCACCTCAGATAAACCCTCTGTTACACCTGGGAAATTGCCAGGGAAACCCATCCTTTAGAAGTGTTTGAACCACCTATCCTGCCACCAATGCTGTTTGCTCAGGAAGACGGTGATGCTCTCATTTTTAAGGAAAGAGACAAAACTAACTCAACCCATAAATCATTTCCCATTGACAGTGCATTCCAAATGCAAACCATCACTTAGGATTTTATGTCCAAATAACACAATGTGGTTTTTGTGAAAATTCAAATCCTCTCACTTACAATTTCAAATGGGGCTGAAATCATCCATGAAATAGATGCAGAGGGGGGAATCATTATATTAAGATCCACAATAGGGGAAGGGAGTCAAACGGGATTATATATCTATGCATTTAATTTGCTTGTTTATGTAAAATAGCAGATGCAAAAATAAAATTTGTATGAAAAAGAAGGTGGTGGAGAGAGACAGGAAAATAGGAAAGACAACAGGGAGGTGAGAGTACAGGGAGGTACCATCCAATTTCCCACCTATGCTTCACCTTTAGAAACTTGCAACATGCTATGCGCTCCCCCCAGTCTGGTTTCTGCATCCGGTTCTGCTCTCCCAATACTCTAAAGAGAGATCTAGGTACCTTCTCCACCTGTTGTCTCTTACTTAGAAGCATGATTTACACGGGTACCATTGTTGGTACCCATGTCAATGATTCCAAGGCAACTAAGGCTGCTGTCCTAGCCACACCTACCTGTGAGTAAGACCACTTAATTCAGTAGGGCTTCTGAGTGGACATGATTAGGATTGCAACCAAATTTGTGTCAACTAATGTTTTAAAGGTGTGTTTATGGGCGGGGGGGGGGGGGGAGGAGGAAAATCTTGATCATTCTTTTAACTATGCTGTAATTGGAATTCATTGTTGGTGCTTGTAAACATTATTCCAAGACAATTTTTTAAAAAATGAAATCATCAATGTCCTGTAAGATAAATGGGAAGCCACAGCCAAGTTGCTTGGCAGGTATATGAGAAAGATCCAACCAGATTAGGAGTTGGATTTTCAGTGAATTTCAACAAAAATGGAAATGGGAGTAGCAATTGCCGATGTTCACATGTTTGTTCCATGGCTACAGTGGAAATAAATCCAGTGCGGTTGCTTTCAGTCCACAAATGATACGTAATTGATTGCATTTTCACTCCATTTTGCATTGACTGAAAGGGATGGAATAATGCAATGATAATGTAATTTACATAATTAATTGCAGACAGCAAGACGATAAGTGTAGCCTTGAGTGGAAGATGGACTGCAGCAGAATGGAGACAGTGCTGCATGTGTCAAATACTGAGTGGAATGGAGAAGAATGAGGCCGAGGAGAGGCTGGCGCCGCAGCAAAAGGCTGCTGTACACGCCCCCTCGGAGGCACCTGGTTGGGTGCCTGCCGAGGGGCGTGAGCGCCAGCCAGGTGAGAGGAGGAGGCAGGGGGCTAATGCCCCCTGCTAGGGGTGGAGCTCGGGCTCCTGCCCACAACCACTCCCCTCTCTTCCAGGGAGGAGAGTCCTTCTTGCATCCCTAATAAAGAGGAACAACCAGAAGCCCCTTGGTACACAGCCCTCTGAACTGGGACTCCCATATGCAGCACATCTTGAACCAGAATTCCCTAAAGGGCCTCCATGTCCCCATTGCCTTCCTGCAAAAACAGAAGTCAGGAACTGCTCAGAGGTGACTGAGTACCAGCCTGCTGGTGAATTACTCATGTACTAGTAATACATGTGAAAAGGATCTAGGGGTCTTAGTGGACCACAAGCTTAGCATGTCAACAGTGTGATGCAGCAGCAAAAAAACTAATGCTATTCCAGGCTGCATCAACAGAAGTATAGTGTCCAGATCAAAGGAAGCAATAGTTCAGCTCTATTCTGAGTTGGACAGACCACACCTGGAATACTGTGTCCAGTTCTGGCCACCACAATTTAGTAAGGATGCTGACAAGCTGGAACATGTGAAGAGGAGGGTAACCAAAATGACCAAGGGTCTGGAAACCAAGCTTTATGAGGAATGTTGAGGGAGCTGGGTATGTTTATTCTGGAAAAGAAGAGATAAAATAGCCATCTTCAAATATCTTAAGGGCTGTCACATGGAAGATGGAGCAGGCTGGTTTTCTCCTGCTCTGGAAGGTAGGACTTGAACCAATAGCTTCAAGTTACAAGAAAGGAGATTCCGACTAAACATCAGGAAGAACTTTATGACAGGAGGAACTTTTTGACAGTGGAATGGACTCCCTCAGGAGGTTGTGGACTTTCCTTCAATGGAGATTTTAAAGCAGAGGTTGTATGGCCATCTGTCAGGGATGCTTTAGTGGAGATTTCTGCATTGCACTACATAACCTTGGGGTTCCTTCCTGCTCTACGATACTATAATTCTATTATTCTGTTCCTTTAAGGATCTCCACTGTTTTGGCAGCAATTGGAGCTAGGGAGCAGTAGTCTGTTCCAGGCTTTATTAGACCATATGATCTGCAATCCTGATCCACTATCCATTTGCATTGGTTTTGGCTCAGTCACCACACACTCAAGATGTGCAGCACACTCATGGACAGGACAAGCCCAAATTCTGAGATGCCTACCAAAGTCCCAAAGCAGTTTTATGAGTTTGCCTTTGTGCATCTCTGTACAGAGCATTATGAGTGATTATTCTTCGATGATCTATGCAGTGATTAGTCTTTTGCCTTCATTACAGCTGCGCAACAACAAGGTGAAAGATGTCTGTCTTGATCAAGGACCACAGGAGAACCACACAGCCATCCTGTATCCGTGCCATGGTTGGGGGCCACAGGTTAGAATACACACGAGCTAACTGTTATGTGACCTCAGCAGCTATCTGAATTCAGGGGAATTTGCAATGTACATCTGCCCCATGTGGCCAAATCTGAAACCAAGAAAAATGATAAAAGAATTCCTAGAATTCTTTGTAGCTTAGTAAGAGGTGTGGCTCCCTCTTCCTTGACAGTCGTCCCATAACTTTCCTAATAAAAAGAAAAGACTAAAAGCTTGGGGGGTGAATAAAGAGGCTTTGTGGGGCCTATCCTATGTAGGACCCCTTCCTACCTGTAGTCACTTTTCCCAAGGTAAGGTGAAGTTTTCTTTCTTGGAGGAAAAACAGGTGGGGAGGACCACACAATTTGAACCCTGATCTAAATGTTAAAGTGTGAATTTGGTCTAGCTCAAAGTGAGTCAGACCCATCTGGAAATGGACCCAGACCTTTGGGGAGGGGGCTGGGGAGTTTCCACATTTTTGAGCTTCCCCAGTCCACATCATTCCAAGGACAAAAATTACTGGGGTATAGTTGCAAAAACAACAACCCACCAGTTTCTTCAATCAAGTAGCTCTTTTTTTTTCGTTAGGACAAGAGTGGGAAACCTCAGACTTTGTGGGCCTTGTGACACTCTCCAGGCCCCTCTGTCTAGCTCCCAGAACTCTCTCTGGGCCCCACCGCTCGCTGACCCTGATTTGTGCCTCAAGTATTTTTGACTGGCGGCAGAGGTGCCAGGTTGCCCCCAAGATTGAGGGGGCCTGGCGTGTTCCATTTGTGTGTGACATCACACAAATCTCTCAATACAGCATAGGCTGGTGCAGCCTTCTGCTAGGCTGTGCTGGTCTCCGCAGTGTCTCCCAATACTGTGCAGGACAGTGCGACCCTGCACCAGGCCACGCCGGTCCCCACAGCACCTCCTGACATTGCCCAGGCCGGTGCACAATGTTGTGTCCTCTAGAGGAGGCCGAGCCCTCTGGTGTACCGGGTGCTGAAGCTGTGGTGTGTGACATCATGCACACGTAATGCACAAGAGGCCAAATATTGAGGGGGCACCTTGGCCCCCTAGAGTTGGCCTGACTGGAATGTCTCCTTCAGCCATGATAACATCCCCTGCTTGCCTGGATGGAGACTAGAGAGAGCTGTGGGTGGGAGTGGCAGCTAGGCTTCTGAATAAGGGTCAACATTACATTCATTGTTCTGCCTGCTTTTGCCTCTGGTCTCTTCCACCACAGACATCTGGCTGTGAGAAGCTTTCCCAGACAGGAATGTTTCCAGCTCCTGCCCTAGAGAGAGGATAAAGCAGACCCCCTTCCCTCCTGCTGCCAGTCCTTTCTCTTTTTTTCAGTATGGTATTATGTCCTGACTAGGGTGTTGGCCTTAGGCTAGTGCAGTACTGGGTTCAGATTCCACCTCAAGGTGCTCTCTGTCCCTCCCCTGAACTTGCTTCACAGGGCTGTTGTGAGCATAGGAAATCTGTGTGAGCTTCATGGAGAAACCAGGGGTTAAGACATATTGGGACTGAAGTAGATAAGATTCATGACTCTAACCCAGCCTCTTTTCCCTCTCCACCTATTCCCATCCAGCTTGCCCGCTACACCAAAGAAGGGTATCTTCACTTGGGTGCTCTTGGGACCACGACACTCCTGCCTGATACCCGCTGCTTGGTGGATAATATGAAAAACCGATTCCCACAACTCCTGGACTGTGAAAAGGTCAAGAGCAGTCTCCATAAGCGCTGGAGTTTCATACAGGTTTGTGACTTCCATCATTTCGCAGAGAGTGTCACAGGGCATCATGCTGAGGTGATGGTTCCATCAGCATGCCTGATGAAACAACCTCCCTTCTCCTCCCCTGTGTGCTGTTTTGAGGGTTCTTCTGAACCCCGTAAAGCCAGTTTGGGGTGTGGGGACATGGGGGCATACAGGGGCAGCCAGTGAGATGCCTTGGATTGGCTCCCACTAAGCACAAGAATTTATGTTCATACTTCAACAGACATCTAGGTATATTTTCATACCAAGCATTCCTGCTCAAGCCAAACCTCCAAAGCAGATACATTAGATGTGAGCCCTAACAACAAAGAGTTGCAGCATGGAGTGCTCCCAGCCTGGGTGCCAGCCAGCTAAGTGGAAGAAATTTCTTTGCTTGTCCTCCAGTTGGGATTCTGAGACCACTGAACGTGCCCTCTGGGTCTCCCAATGGGGGTGGTAATAGGTAGGTAGGTAAATGACCCCTGGATGGTTCAGTCCAGTCAAAGGTGACTGTGGGGTGTGGCGCTCATCTCGCTTCAGGCCGAGGGAGCTGGCATTTGTCCACAGACAGCTTTCTGGGTCATGTGGCCAGCAGGACTAAACCGCTTCTGGTGCAACGGGACAATGTGATGAGTGCCAGAGTGCACAGAAATGCCATTTACCTTCCCGCCACCTATTTATCTACTTGCACTGGTGTGCTTTCGAACAGCTAGGTTGGCAGGAGCTGGGGCAGAGCAACAGGAGCTCACCCTGTCATGGGGATTCAAATCGCCGACCTTCCAATGAGCAAGCCCAAGAGGCTCATTGGTTTAGACCACAGTGCCACCCGCGTCACATATGGGGTGTGTGTTTTAAGTTAGACTGATGGCTAACGGACATCCTTTCCCGTTCTGCCCTATATTTGTTACATGCAGCTCTGTTTCTGTTCTGCTGCAGTTCATCTCCTGTGAAAAAAACTACATTATTCATCTCATGGTGAAATAACATGACTTGCATTATTCCTCCTCGTTCATTTCCATGCAAAGGAAGCGCAGTGCAAATGGATGGTTGCATGGCGAGTTCCCGCCTCCCCCCAGTGGAAATAAAGACACATGACACAGATATTTAAGGTTAGGTTGATGTAATCCATCATGTGTTGTTTGCAAACTGAACGCAACAACAAACAGTGTGTACCAATCATATGCATTGGATTGCTTACTGTTCCAGAAATAGGATAGGTCAACACTTACAATTCAAATCTCTGATTATTTGTAGTTGTTGTTGGGATTCTCCAATATCCCTACTGATGGTTCCATACATTGATTTCTTTCCCCTTTCTTTTTCAGAACGGTGCAATTCTAAACAAAGGGACAGGCCGCTGTTTGGAAGTTGAGAATAAAGGCATGTCAGGTATGGATCTTATTCTTCGAAGCTGCACAGGACAAAGGTGGACAATTAAGAATTTCATCAAGTAGAATGCCCTTTCTCCTATGCTCAAGAACTGATGGAATTCAGATCTTTCACAAGGGTAGACATCCTTCCATCTCCTCTGCTCTGTTCACAATATCAGGGAAAACTCTTAAGGGAAGAGAATATTTTCTTTCTTTTTCAAAAAAATAATTATTTATTGAACTTTGATTATCTCTCTGCTGACTTCAACCAGCTGGAAGAAAACATTCTAGGTCTGCAGTTGTCATTACTTGAGCACTCAACTGGCATTTCTGCTGAAGAACTGTAATAAATGCTTTAAACATTTTTCCAGAGCAATATTACTTTCTCCAAATGGGCCCGCAGAAGATGCAGGAGAATCAAAGAAGGAGCTATTCGCAAGTGATGATATATCAACTGTGAAGGCCACAATTGCTGTAGGATCCCTAGAAATATTCCTTCAATCCTACTTCAAGCTGGTTTTTCAACCTGGACTACTAAAGGCACATTTCATAAGCTTCTTGCAGAACCTTTTCCTCCATACTAAGCACAACTTGCTGTTGTTGTTTTTGTGAAGCCTGATGTATGTGTGAGGGGGACATCCTGAAAGCCAACCATGCACTACTGCAATCAGCAGAACTTACAAAAAGGCCCTTTTTGGCATCGGCACTTCATCCTTCACCCAGTCATTAAGAGAAGTGTGCTATTTTGCACGAACATGCCAAGAGGGAAGGGAAGGAATAATTTCGTGACAAATCCCCACCCAAAGCAACAATGATTAATTGGGTGTTTGAGTGGTTTTTAAATGTGCAATAATCAGATTAACTTTGCTTCTCCTAGTTTAATTTTGTGCAATTGTGCTTTAGAGACCAGAAATGTTCTGCTATGCCATGTCCGTGGCTCTGGAGGGCAATCTTCTTCCTTAACCAGGAGCTAGTGATAAAGGACTTTAGCAACAGATTTACATCTGGGGGTGTAAGAAAAGGAAGGATTTGAGGACACACACCCCTTTAAAAAAGAGGGATTAGGTCACTGATGGTTAGAGAACATTTTCTCCATTTCCTAAGCCATCTAATATAGCTGATGGTCAGTAAATTCAGATTAGACCACATGTTGGGAACATTTGGACCTCCAGATGTTACTGAACAACAACTACCATCTCTGGCCATTCTTGCTAGGGCTGGTGGGAGTTGCAGCTGAGCAACATCTGGAAGACCAAAGGTTCCCACTGCTGGGTTAGACTAAAGAAGAAGAGTTTTGGATTTGATATCCCGCTTTATCACTACCCTAAGGAGTCTTAAAGCGGCTAACAATCTCCTTTCCCTTCCTCCCCCACAACAAACACTCTGTGAGGTGAGTGGGGCTGTGAGACTTCAGAGAAGTGTGACTAGCCCAAGGTCACCCAGCAGCTGCATGTGGAGGAGCGGGGAAGCGAACCCGGTTCACCAGATTAAGAGTCTACCGCTCTTAACCACTACACCACGCTGGCTGTAAGAAACTACTTCTTATCATTGTGTGGGGACAGGGCAGCTGTGCCCCTCCAAATGTTTGTAGACTACACACCCATCATTCCTGACCATTGACCATGCTGATTGGGGTATGGGGTCACCACAAAACCTGGTCATCCTACAGAAGTGACACACAGTATAATTAACTTCTGGAAGCTGCTGCCAGACAATACAGTGAAGTAGAATTTCTGACATGGACTGCCTTACATCCAGAATTTCCTGGACATTAAAGTGATTTCCACCCAGATGCTGTTTACGAGGACCGAATACCGGCTATGTCCGGGAAATTCTGGACATATGGCAACCCTAGGTGAAGACCACCAACTTACATAGCTTTGGAAGGGAATTATGTAACCTCAAGAATCAATGACCAGTGCTGGGGGGCATCAGTAGAATTTCAGATGTTTGTGAAGGGACCGTTCAATGTGAAAGTCCAGTTGCTTTCCAGATGCATCCAGTTGACCACTGGGAAGATAGAACTTTCATCTGGAAGCAAGGCTGCTTTTATCTTCAGATGTCTGCACATTCATTTGATTACCAAATCCCTGCGTGTGCATTTTATTTTAAAAGACCAGGCCTGTTTGTTTGTCCAAAAGTCGCAATGTCAAAAGAACATAAACAGTCAGTGGAAGGGAAATCGTATGAATATCCCCCTCCTTCCAAAGTTTGCTCAGCCATAAAGCCTGCCAGGAGGTATTTGGCCAGTCACTCTCTTTCGGCCTAACTCTGGCTGCATTCACACAAAACACAGTAACTTTTCCCTGTTACTTTCTGTAGCATATTTGAGTTTGTGCGCAGTGTATAAGTCACTTTTGAAACGCTAGTGGAACATAGTGGAAGTTTACATCTGCAAACCAGAAAACCATGAATGAAATGACAAAATTTGGGGTGGTATACTAGCATACAGTTCTTCCCTGCCGTTTTCGTGGGGGGCTCGTGGGAGAACCAAAGCATGCACATGCGGAAAGGGTGAGGGAGTGGAAATATTGTCCAATGATGTTCATTTCTGCAGCACACAAAACAGGCTGATGTGTGCAAAATTTAGCACACCGTGTCAGTGTATTGCTCAGAAAGCAATAGTTCTGTAACACAGCAGGTACTGCAGTATGAAAGGAGCATGAGAAAATGGGAAAGAAGCACTGGCATTGTATCAGGAAAGCTAAAGCAACATTCCCTGTGTCTGAATGCATCCTGACCCTTCCAACTGTTTCCCTAAACTGTGACATTTTGAAAGAAAACCAAGCACAGCCAGAGCCTAGCATTTCTGCCCCCAGTGGCATTTGCTAGAGTTCCAGCAGCTTTGAAAATAAATAAATTCCCAACTGGCTCTAAAAGTTTTGGCCTCATTTTGGTTGGCTTCATGACCATGTTGTGTGATGATGATTGAGGAGAGTATGTCTGCTTCCTGCTCTGCTGTGAAGGAGGAAAAACAATAGCAGCTGGCAGCCACGAAATGTCACTGTCACCCACTCCATGAAAAAATTCAGCTGGCAGGTTGTTCCACAACACCTCCCTTCATGCAATCTCCCCAATTTCTCCTTAAATGGTTTGCAGAAACTACAACTTTGTCCTGGGGGTACCACCATGTATGACTGCACTTCCTAGTTAGGATAAATTGGTATTGGGGATTTTTATTTATTTTTTCTTAAAAGAGGGAAATGTTTGATTCAGCACCAGATGTTCTGATTCAGAGCCGAAGAACTATTTTAGGTGTGCTACCCAAGAATGAAGAACAGACTCTCCTGCTGTGTTGCAAATGTCTGTTGACAGTCACTTCAGGCTCACAGCTGAGAGACACAGAACCAAAGTTCCCAGTCCTTTGGATCTCTTCTTTCCATGAAATTTGAATTGAATTTTCTGGTGGGAGGGTCTATCCTGTGCTGATGATGGGGACTGGTCCTGTGTGGGTGATGCTCTGGAAGCAGCATTCCTAAAGGAAACCTGCTTGTGGAGTGTCACCCACACCCTTCAGGATTGACCCATCTGTGGAACAACTGTTAAGCATATGGGCCCATCCTGTGTGGTAAAAGCATCAGGCCAGCAGGAAGTTGGGGCTTCCTTCACTTGGAAGACGAAGCCAGTAATGACAGGTTGGTCTTGGCCATTTTGCAGTTTTTTCCTGCCCCGCTGTGCCTGCCTCTCCTTTCTGCCTGATGACCTGCCTGATGATGACGACGACGACGACGACGATGATGATGATGATGATGATGATGATTTATACCCTGCCCATCTGGCTGGTTTCCCTAGCCACTCTGGGTGGCTCCCAACAGAATATTAAAAACAGGACAAAACATCAAACATTAAAAACTTCCCTAAACAGGGCTGCCTTCAGATGTCTTCTAAATGTCAGATAGTTGTTTATTTCCTTGACATCTGATGGGAGGGTGTTCCACAGGGTGGGCACAACCACCAAGAAGGCTTACCTGGTTCCCTGTAAGCTCACTTCTCACAGGGAGGGAACCACCAGAAGGCCCTCAGAGCTGGACCTTGGTGTCCAGGCAGAACGATGGGGGTATGCTGGGCTGAGGCCGTTTAGGGCTTTAAAGGTCAGCACCAACACTTTGCTCAGAAACATACTGGGAGCCAATGTATGTCTTTCAGGACTGGTGTCATATGGTCTTGGCGGCCATCTATGTATGTACCTGGGCCATCCAACCCAACTTACAGTGATCCGTGGCTGTCTGAACCAACTCGTCCAATGCCCAAATCCCTCCAGATAGCCCTGATTTGCCTCAGGAATGTGCCAAATCCAGTGCACAGCCCTAATCATCTAGTTGTCCTCAGCCTTTTCTGCCTTTCCCTGAAATGTTCCTTTTCACAGACAGACACACATATCATCTCTCTCCTCTTGCATAGCTTGAGACTTTTTAATTGAGAGAAAAGGCAAACAAGAGTTGACAAGAGAAAATTCACTAGAACGTTGGAAGATCAAGAAAGTGCTTCTTCGTGCGGTCCATGGTTAAACGATGGACCTCACTCCCATAGGAGGCAGGGATGGCCACCAACTTGGGTGCATTTAAAAAGAGATTGGACAGATTCAGGGAGGAGAAGGCTATATATGGCTTATGTTCTCTCTCCACTGTCGGAGGAGTCATGACTCTAATTTCCAGTTGCTGGGAATCACAGGTAGGGAGCATCAAGGTCCTGTTTGTGGGCTTCCCACAAGTATCTGGCTGGCTACCATGAGAACAGGATGCTGGATTAGATGGGCCACTGGCCTGACCCAGCAGCCCTCATCTTACAATTATGTCCCCAGTCCTTTCTGGAATATTTCATGCAAACACATGAAGATTCCTAACATCATTTGGTCAGTTTAAGAGAGAATCCCGGGCTATTTACCAGCAACCTGCAAGGCAGTGGTAAACGTTAATGCTTGGACTTTTTTTCTGCCCTAGACATGTTGAAAGGTTCTGCCCTTTGTAGAGCTGTGAGCCCTAAAATTAACTACTTTACCGTTTTCTCATTTTCACATTGTCACATTTCTAACCTGTCAGGCCTTCTGTATCCCTCTGGCAGCTCAATGATATTTTAATTCCATTCTCCAATTCCTACTTTTATATTTCATTGCTCTGGCGGGTGGCGGGGGGATGACACTAATCCTTTCACTTGAGATGTAAGAAAAAGAATGTGGGCGGAAGATATTGCCCAATTGCAAAGCCCCCAAAGCGTAGGCAAGGGAAGCTTCTGTGAGCCCTGTTTGGAAGCGGTGGATGCCAGGTAGCTGAAGGGCATCATGTCAATTCCCTGCAATGCCCTCGAGCTTTATTTATATTTTCAAAAACAGTTGAACTGCATGGTGCTCTCCAGAGAATAGAGTTGAATTATATATATAATTTTTTTTAGAAAAGAGCAACCATGAAAGACATCAGCAGTGGGCCCTGCCAGTGGTATAGCGTGGTTTGCCGGTGTCCGGGGCACTCACACAAACACCTGGAGAACAGGGTGCAGAGCAGGCATAGGCAAACTCGGCCCTCCAGATGTTTTGGGACTGCAATTTCCATCATCCCTGACCACTGGTCTTGTTAGCTAGGGATGATGGGAATTGTAGTCCCAAAACATCTGGAGGGCCGAGTTTGCCTATGCCTGGTGTAGAGGGTGAATGGAGCCCACAATGGCAGCCCAGCCCTCGCAGATGACATGAACCCCCCATATCAGAGCCAAGCAAGGCCATGCTACACCATCTGCCTACCCTTGCAGGGGGGAGCTCAGCTGACATGGCCCTTGGATCATCTGAGTCTTGCAAAGCAGCTCAGGTCTGGCAGGGTGGTGTGAAAATGATGCAACAGCAACATATCCTTCGATCCCAGCCTCACTAAGCAAGG